TTCCAAAACAACACTTTACAGCCCGTTTTGAAGCCGTTTGCAACTGTATATGCAATAATTAAATATAAAACTTTTTTTTTTTTAATATAGCAAGATTAGAGCATATATATTTCAGGTCACATATTAATAATTATTAATTAATTTCACCTTTTCAGCTTCAGCTTCAGCTTCATCTATCCTTGCTGACTGATATCTATTTCTCCCACCTATTCTTTTATCAGGGGGTCGACAAAATCTCTCACACACATAAACTTAGAACTAATTAATGGTTAATTATATCCATTACTGATTTCCCAAAAATTATTGCTGCGTAATCTTGCACTTCTTCTCATGGCTGGACTCATTCATTACCTTCAACCCTAACCCTAATTAATAATAATACAATATGCAGTAAATGAAGAAGCAGGAAACGGCAGGTTTTCATGCAAACAAGATGGTATACAACGTACGCATGATTTAATTTCTTTACTTGTATTGCATGCAGTTTGGTATCTGACAATTTTTAGGTTCCAACATTAATTAGAATTCAACTTACCTCTCATTAATATTTGTGATATTGGTCCAGCAATATTAATTAATGTTTCAACTGATATCATCTAATTAATCAAGCACACCATGTATATTAATTAATTAGCAGAGTTAATTATTCAGATTTTAATTATCTTACACGCCCTTGGATTAAATTTAAATTTAAATTAGACCTCTTCATGATCATAACTAGGGGATCCAAAGAGACTCTGAGACCATGCACGATTCAATGAAAAATTTATGGAGAGCTGAGAGGATTAATAAATTGAGTGATATATCTGTATCTGTTCCAACAAACAATAATAAATAAATAGAGCACCTCTCCTTGGTTGTTGGGGCATGAACCCTATTTAATGGTATTTTAAATGTTTCTTCACTCCTCTATACCGACACCCCTTCCCCCTTCAAAGTGTTGAATTGAATATCCAGAAATGGATTTATGGCCGTCCTTGTATTTAATTTGAGGGCTTAATTTCTTCTGCTGCGTACGTACAAATGTCTATCTAACATACCCTGCACAAGTATGTAATGCACTCTCCACCTACCTCTATGAAATGCATCTAATTTTAAACGCTACTTACCCTCCACACTTTTAGATTTCTATTAATTATAATTATTGATTTATTAGTATCTATGAAAAATTATGATTTATTTGCAAAGTTGTTCTACATGCAGAAAACCATGCATAACATGCATGGGTTAAATATTTATTGGAAGAACTAGTTAATAAAGCTACCAATTATATATCTTTTTGCTCTCCTTTTCTTGCCTGATTTATGTAATTAGTTCGATACATTGATCATGTACGTACTGTTGTTGTATTGAAGTTGAATGTAGGGTATAGTACTAGTATTGCCCTACAATATTAATTGATAACATCAGTTTTCGTACCTTCAAATCCTGATAAACAATACTTCTATATGTTCAAGTACTTGTTGATTCAGCTATATATGATCTTAACAGAAATCGCTTCTAAATTTGTTTGTGGAAGAGTTAGCCCTTATCAGTTTATATAGCTAGATCCTTTTACTGCAGTAGCCTGTTCAGTCTGCTAAAGAAGCAGTTTTCCAAATTTGTGTCAGTTTTGTACTTTTATTTTTGTTTTCAATACCCTCGTAAAAAATCAACAATCGGTTAACGAAACAAAATGGTGTTAAATAATTGTGACAATGTAGTTGATTTTTTTTTTCAAAAAATAAAAATAAAATAAAATAAACTAGTTTTTTATTTTTATTTTAAATTTTTTAAAAATTGAAACAGCAAATCATAGTAAATAGTATTTTCACAAACAAACAAATAAATTTCGCATGTAATGCACTTAGGTGGCAAGTCATAGCATTACGCACCATTTGCCAAATCATTAAAATTATGATAAAAAATACATTTCCTTTTGAATTTTTTTTTAAAAAAATTTGATAATTGGTCCTTGTATACGCAAAATCTCCACCCTTCAAAAGATAATCTCATCTCAAATACTCTCTTTGTGCCAAATGTTATTCCCGTAAGCAAAAACATAAGAATTTATATTTATATTTTAATTTTTTTTAAATATGTATATAACCAACAATGAAATAAATTTACTTTGCCCAAAATATAAAAAATAGTTCTATCTAATTTAATTAATAAATATGTTTTTTTTTTTCGTTTTGCATATTTGACTAAACATTTCGATCGGGATATGGAGTGGATAAAATCTCCTTTTCTGCTATATATATATATATATATATATATATATATTCTTATTAACCTTTTCTTTTGATTGGAAAACTATGAATTATTTTCAACTAATTAGTTTTCCCAAATATCAAAAATCAGAAAAGTGTAAGTTTTCCGAAAAATCACCTGTCCCCCAGAACAAACAAGCTTTAATCTTCAATTCAGACCGCGGACCATGCATTCCTGTGAAACATAGGTCATGGGAATTGAACATTAAATGTCCACACATGAAGATAACCTCTTCCTTTCTAAAGTTTCCAAAACCAACTTAGAATTTATTTTGTTGGGAAACAGAAAGATGCATGCAAGTAATAAATGAAGGAGCTTTCCAGTAATGAATGCAGAAATTTCTCATCAACTAACTGAAATATGGTTGGCTTTAATTAAACACTACTAACTTTATAATAATGTTTACACTACGTACTTGGGAGTAATCCATATTAATAATGTTCAACAACCTAAACGGTGGGTTAAGGTAAATTTAACCTACTTCTAATTCAGCCAACTTCTCACTAATGCCTCTATATATTCCTTAACTGCACCATTCAGACCACATATCTATGTCTCATTTGATTTCCCAAACTTAATTGGTAGAACTATTTTTTTTTTTTTAACATAAAAATATTTTTATACTAGTTTGTATGTATATCAATTGAGACTAACTAAATTTTTTTCAGATGATCTTCGTTTACTACACACTAAGCAAGCTCCAATATACTCTTAAAAACCTAGTTTTTTTGGCACCAGCAATCCAACATCTCCATAGTCATAGCATAATATATATATATAAATATAAACCGAACTCAAAACTCATAACTAAATAATATAATGAAATATTCATTCATCAAAAGTATCTTCAATATTTAGCCTTATATTCTGTCCATATATATATAGCGTTAAGTACTAAAATACAAATTGACTGTTTTTTTAAAATAAAATTAAAAAAAGAAGAAGAAGAAGTTATAGCTAGCAAACTTTTAGAGAGACCATTTTTTTCTAAATTCAGGGTAATTTTGTCCTTTCCAGATAATTATAAGTGCTTTGCACACATAAAAACTTTTATATTTTTTTCAACAACATATTTTTAATATAATATACCTTATAAAATTATAAACAAGAAATAATATTTTTATCGAATACTATGGAAAAAAAAACAAAAAACAAAACAAAACAGTGGAATACAATGGACCAGGAAAAAAAAACAGAAAAAATTGATATGTCGATCAGGAAAGTTCGATTTCACCCTAGATTTTTTTTTTTTTTTAATGCATGCATGTCTATATAGTACATGCAGAATAATTTTTAAAGATGAAAAATAATAACAAAGTGTACTGGACTGTATAAAATGTTTTCGTAAATTTCACATCAAACAAAAAATAAAAATGAAAGGAGAGTGATTAAAATGTAAAAATAATATTTACTTGCTGCCAAACAAACCTGTTGTATGATTATATAAACCTGCTGCCAATCACTTAAGCTTTGCATCCATAATTTAAAATAATTAATAGTAAATAAGTACTGAAGAATTTTGATTGTATAAAGAGAGAAAAATACTTCTATGCAAATATAGGACCCCTTATATCTTTTCTCACAGTCATAGACAACACAAAATATCTGGATTGATCTAAGCCCAACAAAACAATAGCTAGTAGGTACATTGGACCAACTAAAGACAAGTTACATGGTCCATGTTTTCTCCCAATCCAATGATAACCAGTGGTCCAGCCCTGAGTTGCCAAGGCCTCTTAAATTGTGTGAAAAAAAAAAAAAAAAATTCAAGTCCTACTCTATTGATGCAATGACGTGCTTCAATGGTGTGAGAAGGAGCCCATGAAAGAATCTGATTCTCAAGTTTTTATTTTTGATTATAATACCAGTTGCCTGGCCATCGTAGTGTTGCTAGAGTGAAACCAGATGGGAAAAATGGGGTAAATTATGGGGATGAAAGCATGCAACCATGGCAGGGAGTTGTAACTCCCTCTCCTTGCTTCAATAGTGTTCTTCAGTTGGCTTATTTTCAAAGGCGGAGAGAAGATCAGAGACTAATGATAGTTCAAAGACATTAAGCAAATGTAGATCACCAAACCAAAAATGCACCCGACAGAAAATAAGAAAAGAATAATGGTATTTCTTATTTTTGGTTAGTGTTGTATTACTTGACAGAAAATTTTACAACTATGTTTGTTAGAAAATCATATTATTTGCAGCACACCGTTGTGCATAATGAACAGTACAGTGCCCCAAAACCATGAGTCAACTGACCAGCAAACATTCCCATGACAATTTAAGTCTTTAACTTCGAAAAGCTTGTGACACCTGTCCAAATGGTTCTCCTTTTCATGCAGTGATGAATTGCTACCTTCAGAAACTACTCGGTCTCCAGTTACCTCTTGAAATAACAACGAAAGAGAAACATAGACGTTACATGCTTGGACAACAGTCAGATCTGAACACGCTCTTCAAGCAGATCCCCTTGTCAAGCGATCTAGAAGCTGCAGTAATTGGATTTGATTTATGTATTGGTCAGTTGTAGAAGAATGCTCGTAGTTTCAAGGTAAAAGATTAAAATAATTCTTCTTCCAAGTCTAATAAAGATATATCAGGACGACACTAAGTCCAGTGGCAAAAGGCAAAAGGTTCGATTGTAATGAATCACAGGTGTAACTATTTTCATAGGACAAAGAAGGTAAAACCAACTTCTTTGAAAAGAAGGGCTAGCATGCAAATAGTAGGGAAACTTAACTCTAAAATGGTTTTCAGTCAGCACTCTCAACCCTCTGAAAAGAAGATCATGGGAAATCTTTTCACAGCTAAGAATGGACCAGGTTGCCATCAATTAGCAATAGCAGTAACAAAACATAGTCATGTAACAAACTATCAGATGAGGATATTTCCACTGCCAAATCTTTCAGGAAAATAAGAACTCTGATATAAATGCAGGGATCACGTTATGCATAAAATTTCGGTGAACTGTGTAATTTAACCGTCTAAGAAAAATGGCTAGAAAAATAACCTATAGTTGGCATCACATACATCCAAAAACAAATTTGATCAGGTCACAAGAAGCATGCATTTCATGCAGGCAAAAATTGCACTGGGAAAGGTCATCCTTTGCAGAAATAAAAAAGCTGCAAAGGTAATCTAAAGGAGGAAAAGGCATAAAAAGAACTAACCATAATAGGATACTGTATAATCCACCCAACTACAGGAATCTGATAGAGGAACACCTTGACAGTAGGCCAAAAGCCACTGGTGGAAAAACATCAATGCAATAGTTCAGGCACAGTATAAGTAAATACTTAAGTTCAAAGCTTATGACCAAAAAAAAAAACTAACCCAAATAGAGCAATGCAACCATATATTTCAAAGATAATTCCAACTATTGGCCACCGAACAAATATGAAAAAGAGCCCAAGGAGAAAACAAACAGAACCCTGCAGAAGAAAGAACACATTAATATAACATCTATGTGCATTTCAACTTTCATCTATCCTTACAAGGTATAATTCTGATTTTTCACACACAAATACATCTCTTCCCATGTTTAGAATAATCTGAACCAATTTAAAATTCACTACCAAGTTTTATAAGTAAATTTCCAAGTCTTTATTGGGAGAATGGGGAATGATCAGGACTCAGGAGCTCTTGATAAAAGTTTGGCAAAAACATGATTGGCAGATGAATAAAAAAATGGAAATGACTGTCAACAAACTACTACACCAAGCAAAGGTGATGCAAATCTTTTGGATATCAAACAACAAAGTTTCCCATGAATGATGAATCACTTCATACTCCAGCATGCCATTCCTAAATGAACATTAAAACCCCCTAGAGTGTACGGAGGCAGGACGCTAAGTTTCATAGCACTTAAAAAAGAAAACATCAATCTCTTGTCCGTGAATGCAAGATAGAGAAAACAAAAGGTTTTTTTTGGCATTAATCCAGTAGAGCACATTAAACGTGGGCAGCAACGCAGTTTTAAGGATGTTCATCTCATGGCCAGTGAATCCAAGATAGACAAAACAAAAGGCTCATTAAGAATCAAGCAAGCACGAAGATAATTTTGACATTTGCCAGATTGCACAGATGGATGAAGTTTTCCACTTTCTTTCGGCAAAAGGAGACCGCAAGAAAATAAAGTAATGAGAAGGACAAGGTCTTCTTTGATACCTTATAATTTGCTCTGTTAGTAAAGAGCTTCCAAGTAGAATACCACCCTAGCAAAATGGCTACCCCTGATAACCAAAATATCTGATGACAGACAGAATCACAGCAAGCAAATTAGAAAATTTGTGTCAAAAAATTAGGTCAGTAAAATCTTAAAAAAAAAAAAACAAGAAGAAGAAGAAGAAGAAGAAGAAGACGAAGAAGAAGCCTTACATTCCCTAGGGCAAGTAAACCCCTGTCAAAGAACAGAAGTGCACCAAGAAATGTAAAAAAGATGCCGAAGCCAATAAGACCCAATCCAATTTCTGCAAAACAGTAGCAAAATTTTAATTCTTAAGAATTAATTAAACACTGTGAGATCATTAATCATTATCATTAAGTAGTAGAAAAAATGCTCACTCTTTTGCTCATTTATTTCATAGGCCATCTTGATCGCAATCACAACCCCTCTTCAGTCTTGACAGCAGAAAAATCAAAGAGCCTTCTGTAAGAAGTTAGAAGAAAAAAGAAAAAAAAATTAATCATTCGGGACTTGAAATTAAAATAAAATCCATTAGGGGGAGGCTAACCTCGCCGGTTGCCGATTCCCCACTTTCAATTCGCTCCCTTTTTTTAGCCGGAGACGACCGTCTAACTATTCAAGTCTGTTAGTCCGACGAGAATCCGAACCCAGAGCCCTGGTGACTAGTTGAGTATTTTTCTTCATTAAAAAAAAAAAAAAAATCAGAAAGGATCGGTTTAATGGTCCTCTTGGCCCAAAATATTTACACACCAAGGCCCACTAAGTAATTTAGATCCTCTAAAGTTCTGTAGTCCCACAAAATTACATTTTATTCTAACCTGGCCCTCTAATTTTAACCTTTTGGGAATACAGTACAATGTAATATCTTATGACTGCTCACTCTTCGAGCCAAAAATTAAATTGCAATGCTTCACAATAACTATGCAGAAATTGAAGAGAAATTTTTTTTAACATGTTTAAATATGCTATTTTGGTTGCTAAATAGCTTGACTGATAAGTAAATGTTTTTAATTTTTTAATCGATGTCAAAATTTACAAACCATGGTAATTTTAATTTTTTTAAAGAAATTCAGCAACGGCAGGTCTTTTGTTAGTTGTCGTAAGAGAATCTCTGTTTTCTATAAAAATGAAATTTGGAGCCTGTGCATCGCGTTTTCTTTTCTAGTAAGTTGGAATCGGCGGACCATATAGCCCATGTGATTTGGGCTATACTGAATATGGCCCAGTATTTTGTTTGTCAGATTATTTTAAATGGCCCACTCATGACCATTTTGAAGTATCTGTGGGCTGGGTCATCACAATTAGTCTTTTACCGCTTGTAATAACTGGTGCGAAAGACACACAACCTTTTGAACCAACAACAATCTATCTTTTTTCTTTTTTTAAAAAAGAAAATAAATAAATCAGTCTTCGTACGCAGTAGTTCTCTAAAAATTAAGAATCTCTGGATTTCTTTGGCATAGGCCATAGAAACAGATATAGTAATTTAACTCAAATTTAATGAATATTATCCGAACCGAATCCTATGGATATAATTTTATTTATTATTATTTTTTAATAGTTAGTATTTTGAATTGAGTATAAATATTTAAAATTTTTATTCCCCAGATTATATATACATATACATATTATATATTACATAAACATTGTAAAATTCCCAATCCGAACGCAATCCAAAATATTATCTTTTTTTTATATTGAATAATACATAATATTTAGATAATGGATATTTAAAATTTGATGAATAATAGATGATATGAATATCTAAAATTTTCACTTAATAAATAATACATAATGCATACATATTCAAAACTCCACTCATAGATAGCCATTGCCATCGCTACGTACTTGAAAACAACAATAATAGGCTCCTAAAATTTTTTTATAGGATTCGACGTAAAAATGCAACCAAATTTATATCGACATGAAAACCTTAACAATCTCGATAAGTTTGCCAAAAATTGGCCTTTTTTTTTTTCCCCTCCACAATTGAGGGTGATGTTCCGGCCCAAGTCAAACCCTGCACCATTTTTGTCGAGTCATCTTTATGAGCGCAGGTTTGTGTGGTAATGGAGACACATGGAGATTTTGTACGGGACTGTGTGTTCGTGGCCGGAGGACTATGTCATGAACTTTGCTTGGTGTCATGTAATTAGCAAGTGCATCAATTTATAATTTGTAAAATCTAAATACCTACGCTTCTTCTTTAATGTGGAACTGTTTGTCTTCTAGCTAGAACCCTTTACTTTTGCCTTCTCCTAATTAGATAATTAATTCTCACTTAAAACTTCAACACTTCCCTTAACCAATTAAGAGAAGGTAGAAACATTTCCAACCAGTCATTAATTAAAATGGGATAGACGTATCGGTATCTAGCAAAACAAATGATAGTGTTGGTGTATAGAACAAGTGGCGATCGTTAATTGATCATGTCATACCCTCTTTGTCAGCCCTGATTCCTAGGCATTTAATTATATGTACGCTTTAGGTTTATATATTTTTATTAAGCTGCTCAATCATAGATAAATAAAATACAACGGTTATTAGCAGCAATATGCAATATATTGATTAGTAGCAAATGTACAAAACTATATTAGATGAGAAAGCCGTTATGTCATCTATCTAATAGTAGCAAAGTGAGGGTATTAATTTATAGATTAGTTAAAAAGAATGATGGAAGCAAGGCCCAATTACAACGGTTAGTGATGAGGCATAGGAAATTTAATTAAATATTTGGGAGCAGGAGGAAACATATGGCAAAGTACGTTAAAGTTACCAAATGGAGCATATCTCAGTGGTTGAACCAGTTTTGCTTGCCACAAGACCTCCTAGCCTTTTTAAGTCAAAGTAAAATAATTTGAATGAAGTTCGAACATGCAAAGCTTGAGATCCATCGAAGATGCCGGCAAGTAAGTTATTAGTAATTGAGATCTCAAAATTATTGACTAGTATGCATGGGCGGTGGTGTTGTTGTGGTGAGGAGCAGTTAGGGTTTTTAATTTCTTATAAAATGCAAGATTTGAAATGTTTTTCTTTTAATATTTATAGATAATATAGTATTTATAACTCAATTTTTACATTGGTAAAGATTAAATCTATTAGTTTATGAGATAGATCGATACTAAATTACATCTAATTTTTTAAACCGATCAATAATCCATGTCTTGAAATTTATGTTATGTGCTATGATTAAAAATATTCATTTGCTCAATTTTTAATTTCTTTTTGGATGAACAAGATCTTAATTTAATATATATTGAAGTGATGCAATTTAGGGTACATGATTGATCTACTCAATTTAGGGTGCATGGTTGATTAGAGAAGCCCTATATATATCATCAATGATTCCAAACACTAAAAAGAAAAAAGGTAAAAGACAAGAGAACTAATTTTAAAGCTCCAATCACGAACCTAACCATTTATCCAATTGAAAAAAAAAAAAAAAAAAAACCTTACACTCCTCCATCTAGAAACTATTAAATTTTAATTTTTGCACTCTTAATGGGGCAATCTTTTTTTTTTTTTTTTCTTCCTAAATGCTAAAGCTCCCATCCATTCAATACCCAACCTGAATTGTGAGTTTTGAAATCTACTTGATTGATAAAGGCGCCATTGACAGGTAGTGGTTTAATTTAAAAGAGAAAATGCACATGCTTGAAGGGGGAATATTCGATGGCTCTGGCTCTTCCTTGTTCATAAAGATAGAGCTAATATGCCCTACAGGATGTTTTTTACCTCAGAAACCTAAAAGTCAACACTGACCTTTAATTACACGTTATATGTCTTCAGTCTAAGAAGATCATCACATGCTATGTTGCCGTCAAATGGCATCATTTGAATCTACCAAATATATATATATATATATAGCACCATATTTGACCCGTATTTATAGGTTGCTTTTGAATTCGAAAATGAAGTTTATTTTTTTTTAAATCTTTTTCTTGCAATTTAATTTCAAACGATACGGACTGAAAAAATATAGGTGTTAAAATGTAGCAATAATGTTGTCGAAACAATGCTTAAACGTGTAAATCTTTTATTTGTAAAACTTCCAAAATTCAGTAATGAATTGTAACTCAACTCTCGAATTAAAAATTTTATTTGTAACTAAAAAACAAAATTAAATTTAAAACTGATCTGGACCCTACAATAATACAACGTCTGAGGGACAAAAGTGCTCTTCAATTAATCTTTTGAACTAAAAGGTTTTTTGGGTTTTGGCAACCTATTGAATAGTGAAACCTGTATCGCAATTGCTCGTGAAATGTGTGTGCATGTCATTTTCGTTCTCAATACATGCACTAGACAAAATGAGACATGGCATGGATATGGCCTACGCTATAATTTTTTTCAAAAGGATGCCACAAAAATGGCGCCACTCAAACCTACATAGTCAAGTCCTAGGCTTTCATGATGGACTTGTCAAATGACAGCATGATAATCAGAGCTATTAATCTGGGAACAAAAAAAATTACTACTGCCATATAATTTTTTTAGAAGAACTACTATCATATTTTAAAAAAAGAGGAGAAGGAAACATGAACTGCATGCGCCCATGGTATTGCCGAATTAATGTCAATTTTGGGGCTTGTAGAGAGAATCAAACAAGACAAACAAGCCATCATATGATTAATTAACATGTAGAAGAGTCATGCAAACAGGGATGTAAAGCTGATTTCTATCCTTCAATTGATTTTCTTACAAATGTCATGTTGTTCTTAGTTCCTTTATTAAAAAATAAAGGGATATGATTAATTATTAATTAGTTTTTCCAGTAAGTTCAAATGTCCTTTTCTTAGTTTTTGTTGGCATGTCGCTTTCCCTCAAAATACTCAAATTCAGATGAGGAATGATCTAGGAAATTTAATTTGCACACAATATATCCCAGCCAAAAGAGAAGCTTGACTGTATCTGGTGATAAAAGGAGCCATCGGTTAGTTGGACAAAGAGAAAGTCAGGGAAACAATTAAATAATAGATTTTTAATAATAAAATTATTTATGTTGTGTTCATTGAAGCAACTTGCATAGGCCCCTAGCTCTCCATAAGTACGTTTTGAACTGTGAGCTTTTGAATAATTCATGACAGATTTAAACACCTCACATTCAGATGTATTTTCCTTTTAAAAGCTTTAGTTGATTCGCATGTTCCTGGCATCTTCCGATCGGATCTTATTACTTGTGTTGCACTATAATTCATAAATAAATAACAAAACGTTTATGCTTTCTACATAGAAAGAGAATAATTAATTATGAAACCTATATCCGTTATTAGTTTTTTCTTCTTTTTTTCAACAAAAGATGTGATGGACCTTGTTTTTAGCTGCTACACGTACAATGCAAGATCATACTCATTACCCTTACTCCAAAGAGCTGCTTAATTAAAATGACTTTTTTCTTTTACTTT